GGGTTGGAAGGGACTTTAAAGGTCAACTGGGCCAACCCCCTGCCATGGGCAGGCCATGGTCCCTCACGCCATGTCCAAAACAGCTGTAAAGAGTCGTTTAAGTATCCGTTGAGAACAGGGAAAATGCGCAGGTTCTGCGGTAAAAGGTAGCTGCAAACAAAAGGCAAAGCCGAGCTCCTGCAGAGGGATGGGAGCAGGCACCTCCTAACCCCGCCATCACACTTCGGTAGTTCAGAGCACTCGCGTCTCCCAACCCAGAGGAAACTGGGGGAAGTCTGTGCTCTTCAAGAACCGAGCCATGCAGCAGGAAGGTGAGAGAAAACCCATTCTAACTGAAAAACTTGCTAAAAAGGGAAGCGAATTTGTTCATCCATTTTATGCTTGAGTGCCTTCACTATCACTTGAAATCTGCTCTGCAGATGAAGTTTTACAGATCGTGGCACAGAGAGTGCCACCGCGGAAGCCGCACTGGCCCCCGGCGCCAGCCGCACTCTGTGGCTGGTGATGCCGTGCCAGGCGGTGGAGGCAGATGCCATCGCTCCTGCACCGCTTCGTGTGCGGATCAGGGGCTCCGCACCCCCACAGCGCCCGGGCGGTGCGGGGGTCACTCCCAGCGCGACTCGTCCCATGATCAGCCAAATAACGTGGAATCTACCGTGTCAATAAAATCATTTACAGCTTGGGAAACAGCAAAATATATGTTAGGGACTAATTTGGGGCGTTGCACAGGCTTATTTGGATGTACCTCTGTGCAATACTTTTAAAATAAGCACAACATCATTAGAAGAAATTTATGATAAATGTTTAGTTTTTCAGTAAGCCATTCTAGAATAAAAACAGACGCGGTGAAGACCTGTCAAAGCCTTTTGCTTATCAATTTTGACTGCAAATTCTCATTTCTTAGCAGTCTCCACTGAATAGAAAATCCTTCAAGTGAGGTTAAACACAGAGCACTTTCTCAGGATGAAACTAGCCAGATTTAAAATGAAAACAACGCTTCAATCCAGAAAATAATTATTCTATACTCCATACTCTAAGGCGTGACGGGCTACAGAACATCACACAATTCGGACCCAAAGCCTTCAAAGAGTTGCCCAGTCCCCAGAGATGCCGCTGCTGGATGGCACAGGTGGCCCCAGGGGTGTCCCGAGCTTCCAGGGACTGCGTGCAGGAGGAGGACGGGTATGGAAAGTCCTTGGCACTGGAGGGTAACATGAACTATTTACTTCTTTCAACAGAAGCCCAAGATCAGTTCGAAACCGTGTCATGACTCATATCACAACAGCTTCATTATAGCATAAACTAGGTAATAGTGTATACATTCTAGGAGAGATATGACCAAATAATTTCATGACTTCACAGACCACGGTGCTGCACATACCCTACAAATGATCTCAACACTTTGCAATCAGCACAGAAATTCTTCTGCATACAGATCAAGCAAAAAACTACTTGTAACGCAACCGAAAACCTTTTGGAAGCAGCACACTGTGCCCAAGCGCTGAGAGGAGAGCCCCTGCCCCGGGCTGTGGGTGGGCTGCCCTCGCTCCGAACACGACTACCGCTGTTTAACAGCCGAAGTGGTGTTGATGGCCCACTCCGTATAACAGCCAACCCCCCCAGCTCTGCCCTTGCAGACAGGTACAACGACGGGCATTTTCAAACTAATTCGATTAGTACTGGAGGTCTACTCATTGCCCAACGCAGTGAGCAGGACCAGCCTTGGGGAAACCCAACGTGAATTCCAGAGAATCGCAAAGTGCAAGGATCTGCCAGCTGCAGCACAAAGTTCAGAACACATTTCTGCTGAGCAGGTAGCTGCTCCTCTTTGTGTCCTTAACCCCTCGCAGCCGAGCACTGCGGCACATAGCTAAGGTGGAAAGGTTAGCTGCTGTTTCAAAATCTGAGGCCAGAGCCTCAGCTAATATCAATTGACATTTCTTCTTCAAAGCAATGGGACCGCTGTGGCTTAGACACGCTCAGCACCTGGCCCAGATCAAGTGAAGTTCAGCAGAAGAGACAGACAAATGATAAAAGGTTGCTGGTGAGTTGCAGTGCTTCACCATTACCCCTGCTAAAACAGCTTTAAGTGCTGCAGGACCACCAGTACCATCTTGTCGCAAAAAGCAACCAAAATAACAATGCCCAGTAATTATAATCCAACCAAAAAAGCAGGGGGACATTTTCCAGTTAGTCTCTCCTTGACTGCTTTACAAATGTTCTGACAGACTTCAGAGCACAGCAAGCTCATGGGCATCACTCAGGTCCTTCCCGGAGCAAAAAAGTAACCCATGCCATGGTTTTCTTTGTCCTTCTTACACTGAAGCAAATCCCTGTTAAACAGTATGTATTATATACATGGCCAAGTGCTCAGAAACTCCAGTGCGCTGAAGGGACACGTCAGAGAAAGCCACAGCCTTTGCACCAGCTCAGAAGAATTCACTGACCTTGGCACGAAGGGTCAGACCGCTGCCCCCAGAACACTGTGGTCCTTGCTCATCAAGTCCAGAAGGCAGCAGAAGGCAGGAGCTGTCTTTCTGGGACTTGCGTGATCCCATTTGAAATGCACGAGCATCTCGCAGCCATCATCCAAGGGGGGTAGCACAAGGGTAAGGCAGCATGGCATCACTTGCCAGCCTTGCCCTGGCAGGTTCTGAAAGCCCAAGGGATGGATCCAGGTCTTTCAGGTATCACAACTGCTTTAGTCCCTGGACTGTCTTTTCCTCCTGGCCGGTAAGCATATTGCTTGGCGATGGATCAGGAGAAAAGCGCTGCAGATATTTCTACAGTATGTGTAGTCTACAGTCGCAGACTACGTGACTCTATAGCTCTACAAAAGCATTTGATGTTTCTTCGCCTTGTTCAGGTGACGGACAATTTTTTTTCCTGACCCAGATACCATGTAGAGTTTTTCAAGCCTTGTATTTTCATCAGTCCCAACAGTAAAGAAGTCCTATTTGTCACTCACCAGAAACAATTTAAAAGCATTATAAATGCATCTCTTCGTGCATCACACAGCAGAAATTGATATAGTAAAGTAACAGCTTAAGCACTGTGCTCATACCTACATACAAATATGTTACTAGCAAAACAAGTGTCAATTTACAACTAAGTTGATGTTTTCCTGATACCACTGTTTTGCTTTTAATACAGTATATTGTTTCCTGCTGTTTTTTGTTTTGTACTCCTGGAAGAACAAATGAAATCACAGCAACCAGAGCTACAGCAATCAGCCCAGCTGGATCAGAAACACTCACGGGTGAGAAATGGAAAACAATACCTGCTGCAGAAGAGCACTGGCGTGGGCAAGGCCACCGCGAGCCCAAACCACCCTCGACTGTGGCCCAAATTTTAAAATCTGCCTAAAGAATCTGAATGGCCAATCGCTTTTTATAGAACTTGGATGACAACATTATTTGTGTGCCTTTGCAGATAGCAATTCTTACATTATACAATAATGTTATATGGAAAAAGCAATTATTAGAAATCTGTGTGAGCTCCTAATTCTTTTAATTTTAAGTGGTCTCTAAATGTTATTAAAAAAAGTGATTTCTCCCGAGGTGTCTTCTATCTCTGTCCTATTCTTCTCACCTCTTTCCTTTAGCAATTTCTTCTTCACATAGTTAGCCTTTACTCTTTCACATTTCGTTTGCCATAACACTTTGAGCGGCCCCTTCTCCTCTCCGACTACTTTGTTCTAGTTGCCTCGGCACCAGCCACCATCAACCCTTCTGACTTTGGTGCTCCAGTGAGGCAGGGCATCCTGAGGTTCATAAAGAGCTTCACACCTTAAATAAGCCTTTCTGCCTGGGCTGTGCAAGTTAGAATAGCAGACATGATTCAAACACAATAAAAAACAATCTGAGTATTTCACAAGAACTTGAGTTGAACTGAAACTGGAGCTGCGGCAATTTACACCAGTTAAATACATTAGTATTTCTTTCCCTGTCACTCAGAGGTTCAATCCAAGCAACATTCCTACCTTTGCTGATACAAGTTCCCACCTATTAGGGATCAGCCAAACATTCGGAAGGCTGTACACAGGAATTTCTTCTAGCACCAGTTGCACAGTACTGCAGTAACCAGGCCAGCACCTTTCACACCTGGGCAAAGCCCCAGAGGAGTGGGGAAAGCTGTCTGAGCACACACACGGAATTGCAGATAGGAGAAATATCTACTTGTTGTTAGCTATGTGTCTCCAACATCAAATGCTTTCTCATTCCTCTGATTTCACTAGAAAAGCAGTAATTCCTGGCTGATGAAGTCACAAATACGAAATTAGCTCACAACATCACCGCGTAGGCAGTCAAACACTCAGAAAAAGCCAGCCCTCAAAAATTGTTCACTCGTGGTTATACAGGAGTGGTCACTGGGATCATCCATGGTGAAAGAAATACTTTGCAAACTTTTTTTGAGCCATTTATAATTTTAGAGTAAAGATTGCTCACACATTAGCTAATGTTATTTTTATGCTGTCAGGCAACCCTGCTGGTAAAGCTGCTAGAAATGACTCAGAAAACATTTTGTTAGTTGTTAGATGTGATTGCCACAATTAACTTTTGATCATTTGTTTGTTCCTTTTTTAAATTGTTACCAAATATCTACACCTTCAAAGGCTTTACTGGGATCCACCTCCACCGGTGGGAAGTAGAAGACCCCCAGTCTCTTGTTTCGCTGGGGCACAGCACAGGGATTAGAGTCACCCACGTCCCAGGTCTCCCCTTTTCAAAGCAAGCCCTTCACAGGGTAGCGTTTGGTAATGGATCCGTGAACAATTTTTAAGTTAGATACTTGTTTTAACATAGCTGCAGTAATGCACATTCCTCATTTATTTACTTATAATAATAATAATAATAATTTGATAATAAAGTAATAAGAAGCTAGATTTTTCCTTACCTTTTTGGAAAGCAGGCAAAAGCTATACAGTAGGTGGAAGAGTGTACCAAGTAACAGATTTTTTAA